TGACACCTGTGTTTACGGACGTATCCTATCCTAATGGTCCGCGTGGTGCTCTGTAGCGTACAAACACGACAGAACTCAAGCGAGCCGCATTTTGTCACGTGACCCGGACTCAAAGCCCATGTAGCCATCTCCTGCCCCCATCGCATTTAGTCTTGTGAGATCGAGAGAAAATCACGGTACAGAAGAACACTCTGTGATCACGTTATTGCTGTGGTATCCAAATGATGATGGAGTCGAAGACGCAGAAGACAGACGATGAAATGACGGGCAAATTGCATGCCTTTGCGTTGTTTTGAGGGCGAAAAACGCACACTCGAAATGTGCTCTTGTTGTATTGAGTGTTCCTGTATTTGGACTTCATGCGAATTGCCGTGGCTACAACCACCACCACGTCTCGTTCTAGTCTGAACGTGGCCCGAACGATCGATAAGGCTGTATCCGTTCGGCAAGAGGCCAGACGGTTAGGCTACGCGTAACCAAAAGTTGGGGGCCATGGTGATTCTCGAGAATAACCGTAAACCTGATATGGAGCTTGCGGCACTTGCTGTAGAGATCAGATGTCAGCAGACCCCAGGCTCCAATACCGATTTTGAGTCAACAGATTTCATTCGTAACTTTTCAACAGTCACGAATTGTATCAAGCTTTCTCCAGCTGTTTTCCCAAACTGTCAGATTTTCTTATATTTCCTAAAGAGTCCAAAATTTCAAAGTTTTATTGTGAGAATAACTTACAAGCTCTTGCTTTTCTCGTCCCATAGGTTCGTGTTGTGGTTAAAAGATAGTGACGCACCCAATTCCTTGTATAAAAATGTCACATGAAATGGGCTTCTTCCACTGCTGCAAGCAGCTTCACTTATGGTGGGTGGAATGTAAGACGTGCTAATTCTTCATCAAGTCTCAGTTTGAAAGATTCAACGCTCAACGCACAGACGAGGAGGAGTGGGAGAGACAGCTCCAGGTAGAACACACTCTGACTGCAAATGACTGATACCGGCATTCCAATCGGCAGTTTGAGACCACCAGTTTGAACGGATGTCCTCTGAGATGAAGGTTGGGTGATAATTTAGGCAGCGGACGATACGGGTGGCTTGGGTTTTACATTATTCAGTATATATTATTTGTTATTATTGTTATTATTATTATTATTGTTATATTATTTAGTATACCGTAATCATTTCTCCTCTGATGCGCCAGAAATCATTGGATTGTAACCTCAATGACTCCAGTCTCTCTGCGTATGAATAACGATTTGACCCCTTAATCATTTTCGTGGCCATGCTTTGTGGACGATCCAGCATTTTACAATCATGTTGTAGCCATGGATTCCATGTCTGAATATCGTACTGTGTGAGTAGGCGAATGTCTGCTGATAGCAGACAGGGAAAAGCGCTGACTCAAATCGGCCAAAGACACGCCTGAGAAAGACGACTTTGTTTACAGCCGCGTTCGACACCCTATCGCAGTTGAGTGAGCAGCTTAAGTTTTCCCGAGTGATGATGCCCAGGTCCTTCTCACTTGACGCGTGTGGCAGTTTGTGGTGATCGTGTAACGAGTACGCGCGCACCGCGGTACAGCTTCCAGGTAACCAATCAAGAAGCGGGTTAACCGAACAACCCTGTGGTGGTCTCAGTTGGCATCATCCGGCTTGGCTGAGTGCA